TCCTGCTCAAATTCATGCTATTTTCTCTTAACTGTATCAGGATATACATGTTAAAGTAATAATCGCTCTAACTATTTAAGATTTTCAATACCACTATTTAATGAAATATGGGGAAACTATGGACTGCGATAGCTGAAAATGGGCACATTTAACGGCGTATATAGTCTAAAACAAAACATATTAACCTTAGGCCCCATACTTTGGGCTAAATCGGGTATATTTTATATTACATCTTAGATCTTATGATCTAAGAGATTCCCACTTGTAAGGTAACCATCCCCTTAGAAAAGATTGAGCAGTATTATGATTGGAAACTTTTTCTTCTATAGCAACTTCTTAGCTGGCTTGTGTGACATTATAAACTTCCCTTATGATTGTAAAAGCAAGAGATTGCTTTTTCTAAATTCCACACAAGGCAATGGTACCTAGCGACTTCATTTCAGATTATCAATGATTTTGTAAGTAATGCCACTGAAAACAAGATTACAAAGCTTGTCAATGAAGAGGCAGTCAAAGGTAAGCTCTTTCACTCTATGTTTGATCTTAGAATCTTCATTTTTCAGACGCATTTTCACTAGTTGTCAATGCTATCTACTTGAAAGCAAAGTGGAATTACAAATTTCTTGCTACTAACAGTGTGCAACAAGAATTCTTTAGTTTGGAGAATATTTCAAGACAGGTAAAATGTCCATATCACTGGTATTGTAAATAGAGTGTTTAAAATAGACATTTTAGATAGACTTTATGAACGACTATCGGATAAAAAGACTATATGCAGAAGATAGCAACGTCGAAGTGCTTTCATTGCAGTATAAAGACACTTCATATGCTTTCAATATACTTTTGCCAAAGAAACGGTGAGTCCAACTAATGTTCCAAAAATCCGCTGTTTGATCATGAACAACTCTTTTATTCCCATATATTTCTAAAATGTACTGTTTTAACTATAAAGGCTCTCTTGAATTTAGGTTTTTACTTGTAAGCAAATCTTTAACTCTGAAGGTTAAGGTAGGACTATTGGCAATGTCACAGCAAAGGCGAGACCTTGGAAATCTTTTTGCTGAAGTAACTTAGTATGCTGACTTCGAAGAAACAGACTTTTTGAAGCTATCTTGCTGTTTAACAGCAAGCTTAAACCAATGAAAACTTCCACCATAATTTTACATTTACCGTGAAACATATAAAGCGTTCGTAAGTGGAAACCTAAATTCAGGCTTAATGCAAATAGCAGAGACTGAAAGAAGTTTAGAAATAGATGGATTGTTAGGATCAGATAGGGAGCACATTTAGGGCACTCAGCATCTTGCGCAAGAGAAACAGGTTATAAAGGATGTAG